GAAACACGGTCCTGCACTTCACCGCCGCCTGCCCGCGCTGCCCGCGCTGTGCACTGTCAGCAGGACGCAGGTGAGAACACGCCCGAGTGCAACGAAGGAATCTCTGCGGCGCGAATGCCGACCTGGCAACGCGGCAGCAGCCACTGTTCGAATCGAACGTTGACGCCAATTTCACAAAAACTTTTTTTTTCCATTTTTCTCCTGCGTGTGATATCCTTTCCTTTCGCCTGCTGCGCCTGTTATCGCTGGATGGAACGTGAGCAAACACACACACTAACACACACACACGCACGCACGGGGCACAGCCGTACGCACCCCCTGCCCGGCCAGCCTGCTGCAGCAACGCGCTGCAGCGCCGGGGCTGCACTGTGTATTATTTATCTTGGAAGCAGCTCAACTTTGAATGCGAGCCGCAAATGCATAGGCCGGGCCCCGTGTGTGTGTGTTTGTGTGTGTGAGAGTGTGTGTAGGTGTGTGTGTGTGTGTGTGGTGCACGAGCCGCGGCGGGCGGCCGGCCCCACAGCGCCGCTGTGATTTGTGGCCGAGCCGTGTGGAGATTCGCGCGCCCCGCCCCGCCCCGCCCCGCCCCGCCCCACCTCCGCGACGCGAGGCGCGGGACGTGCAGGCGCGATCTGCCAGATACCATCCGATTCATACAAATTAGACAACAAGGCTCGCGAGAGAGTGATTCACGGCCGGGACTATTCGCACACCATTATCAGCGTATTCGCCGCGAGGACTGCTTAAGCGCCAATTACCGTCTTCTGTCTCTCTCGCGCGCTCCGGGACGGCCGCGGGACGGCCCTGGAGTGCGAGGAGGACAGAGCGAAGGCCGCCCTGGGTGCCGCGCCTAACCCACTGCCCTGTGGCTTTGCTTGCTTTGCCTCATTAGGGGAAGATTACGTCGGGTTGCATCCCCGGCCGGCGCGAGTCCACTAAACACGCGAAATTAACCAAATCTTGGTGATGAGAATTGGGTAATTTTTGACGGTGGCGGGAACTTGGTGCCTGTGCAGTATGTGCACGCACGGCGTGCGTCGCGGTGCTGGAGGGTGTGCTGCCGGAGGGCGGCCACGTCGGCCGGGGCGTCGGCCAGGGCGTTGGCACCGGAGCGAGTGGACCACCCCAGCGGCCCGCGGCCCCGCGATGCCCTCGTGCCCCCTGTGGGGCCCGCGGCCCACGGAGCCCCAGCGCCCCTCCCTGGGGCTTAAGAGCATTTACCTCAACTGCCATCGTCTATCATTTTCGGCGAGCAACGCGACGACCAACACGCCATACTGCCGCTTCTTCCTCGAGAGTGAGTGCTTTGACGTGGTGGTCGCTGGAGGGGGAGGGAGCGGGGGCTTCCCTCGCGCCGTGTGGTCACATTTTTACCATTTCCCTTTTCTCCTCCTCCTAATGTCACCCGACACTTTACAAACACCGTGCCTAATCCCTAAGCCTCCCCGAGCCGGCCCCCGCCCCGCGGCAGCCCCGCCTCGAATTAGACAATTCATATTTTGTCACCCATTCATTATTGGTGCAGCCCGGAGTGGGGTGGGGACATCCGGGACAGCCGAAAAGTCCGTCCCTGGCGGGAGGTGTCTCTCGCTCTCTCGCGCTGTGGGGCATATTGTATGACTACGTGATAGAGAGACAGGCGTAACCCTGCTGTCACACTGTCACACCGGCTGATGGCGCAACCGGCAGCCAGCCACGTGGCGGCTACCTCTCTCCCGCCAAATTTCCCCTTTCCCGCCAAATTTCCCATTTCCCGCCAAATTTCCGTTTCCCCGTCAGACCGCCGCTCGTTTCGGCGCGACACTCAATGCAGCAAACGCCCCGCTGGGCGCCAAGTGGTCCGAGATAGACCGCGGGGTAATTTTTAAATCGGGCCGCTATTTCTGGGATTTCTGGGCCGCGCCCCGCGGGTTACGGTGGCGCGCCAGAATATAGTATCCGCTCGCAATGCGTTTATTTGCGTGTGAACGAGGACGCTTTCGCGGAAGGGAAGGGGCGCGAGGACGCGTGTGGCGGCCAGCGCGCGACAATCGTGGCGAAGCGGCGGACCGATTCCGAGAGTCTGTCAGGTCTGTCTGCAGGAGAAGCAGACACCACAGGTCGAAGGACAACCTAACCTAAACAAACTAAACCCTCTGCTGAGCTCACGGAGCCGATAAGTGGCCGGCATGGAAAGGGCGAAAACAAGGATCGGGCCTCCACCAATCAGGGTTCGTCTATCTGAGAATCGATAGCCTCCAACGAATTCTTTTCGGCGCTGACACGTGTGCATAGCCAGCCGGGCCTAGAGGACGTAGCGACGCGTAGCGAGCCAGATAGCGAAAGGACGAAGGGATTACACCTTTCATTCCTAGGGCAGGGGACTAGCGGTTGGAGTACTGCTGCGTGCGTCGGTTTCAAAAAATTGGTCGCGGATAAAAAGGATAAGATCTATCGGGGTTTATTGGATAGCATTTTTCAGCAGAGCGTTTCTATCTGCCCATGACAGGAATAGGTGTTTCCCGCCTTCGAACTGCCGCATTTCATAGTGTCATTAAGGTCAGGTTAGTGACGTTGGTGAGGTCAGCCTTGCGGAACACTGGTGGCGTCCACCGGTCTGCCCCGCGTTTTCAACCGCTCCGCGCGTTTCCCGGGGTTCAGGGAATTTCTCAACGGGTGCAGTCAGTCACCCTCGGCAGGCCGGTCGGGCCGGCAGGCGCTCACATCGGGATCGGCGAAAACCTATCGCGGCCGATAAGATAAGTGGCGGCCGGCGGTCAGGTGGAATGCGAGAGGCGCGACGAGTCTGTCACGGAGAGGGACCCGAGAGGGCCGAGAGCGACGGCCCGACAGACGACTGGCAGCGCAGCGCCATCCCGTATTCACAGAGTGAAACGCCATCTCTGCAAATAGCCACCACACTGTCGGGCACTACTTGCAGTGCAGGCACCGCGCCGGCCGAGCCCACCGAACACCTTCCGCTGTGCTTATCGCGCGCGCCTTCGATACAGCGATCAGGAAGAGATAAGCCCGGGCTTGCGGAGGGGGAGGGGGGGGGATGCTGTGAGCGGGGCTCGGAGAACACCTCCACTCGAAAACCTTACTGGGTTTTCGGTTGAGTGAGCCGGAAAGCGGCGCCTGCACGGTCGTGACCCTCAAGGGCCGTGCAGTGTGGGCGTCCAGGCTCGCGTCCAGCGACCGGCAGGCGGCGGGCCGCCAGGGCGATGACGACATAATCTATGAGCATCGTCGTGACGACGTCGCCGAGGCATAATCAACGGTTCCGAACAATGGACCGCGAGACGCTCCGCCCGGCTAATTGTTAACCCGGCCAGGCCAACCGACCGCGCCAGCCAGAGCGGCTGCACCGTTAGAGGAATAAGAACAAGTAACAACTTTTCAAGCAGCGGCGTCGAATGGTTCTCATGTTTCGCTATTAATACAGTGTGCCCGAATGAGTCGATGACACGGCCTACTGGCGGCACGACGCGGCGACTATTCCCCCAGCTTCGTCGCTCTGTCTCTCTCGCTCCTCAACCGGGCGCCCATGAGTGCGAGCGAGAGAGAAGACTCTGGGAATCAGTCCACTGGCGGGTGAGTCAGGCTGCAGGGTGGCCACCGCGACGGGGGCCATGGCCAGTGTGACTCGCCGCGAGTGGCGCGTGTAGCACTCCATTGCGTGGCCCAGGGCCCACTGTGGGCACGTCTAGGAGGCGTCTTGGAGGCGTCGCGGCAGGTTCGGCCCGCCTTGTTTGAAGAGGCGTAGCGGCGTCGCGGCACCACAGAGACAAAACTTTAAATGGTTGGTTGGCGGCCCAATACCGTCACCCAGGCCTCGCCTCGATCCCCAACTTTGTCAATAATTGGATTTGAAATTGCGCCTCGAAATCCTGACTCTCCCTCTCCGCGGGGCGTCCGACCACTCCGCCCCGCCGTGGCCGAGGCCCTGGCCGCGATAACTCGATACAGTGCCGGCACGCCACGTACCGATTCAATTTCGGGGACAGACATTAAAATTGCAGCCAACAAGCAGCACTCACGTCCGCCGAGGCAAAGGAAACCTCGCCCCTGCCGAATGCCCTGCCGCCCTCAAAGATGCATCAGGACGGCAGTCAACCTATTCAGGTTCACGCCAAGTCGACTCAAAATTCAACGAATACTCGAAACTGCGACTCGGTACGTAGTGAATAATCGATATCTCGAAACGAAGCGCGCGGACGGGCGACGCGTCATCACAGTCGCCCCTCCGCCCCCCGGCGGACTGGATCTGAATATGAATATCCCGCGTGCGCGAAACGCTTTGGACGCATTTACGGGTCGCCGCTGCACTTTGGGTCTCACTCCGCATCGCACCTGTCACCATGAAAAAGGAATAGCCGTCCGCCAATCACGGTTCGGCAGCGGGAGAAGAAGGAGAAGGAGAAGGAGAAGGAGAAGGAGAAGAGGACGCGAGGAGAATCGGAGAATGAGGGGCGTGGCGGGCGTGGCAGGGCAAGGGACCGAACAGGAGGGAGTTGCCATAACCGAGTGTGAACCCGTATGGGGTCCGCGGCCGGCACGGCCAGCACGGCCAGCAGGCGGCCGGCCTGCCAGTGGCGTGGCCCAAGCGCGGCCGGTACGGGCTGCAGAGGCTGCAGCCTGCACTGGGAAGACAAGAGCCGAGGACGAGGCCAGGGGCAAGACAAGCAAGGCGGCAACGCAGACCCAAACACTGCCGTCATTCACGCGGCGGAAAATACTCTGAAAATGTTTCAGCAGGTACAGGTAGTTCTTTTAAAAACCGGCTAGAGCACACCAACCCACGGCCAGCAGACGAAACCGAACCACTACGGCCTGCTGAGAAAACAAAAGCACTTCCGATGAAAATGCCTGGCTTACGATGTGAACTAAAAGGGCCCGAACGGCCCTCGTCACCTCGCGGCCCCCGCGGCCCCCGCGGCCCCCGCGGCCGGCACTGGGCTAACGAGCCAGGCCCGCCCTGCCCGCCCTTTCCGTGTATCAATGGGTTGACCGGCACTCACCTGGATGGCTGCCGCCACGGACGCCAGGACGGCGACGACGACGAGCACGGCGCCGAGGCCGCTGCGGCCGCTGCGGCGAGGGCGCCGCCGGGGGCACGGCGTCGGTGACTCCATCAACTCCATCGGCGAGGCTGGGTGGTGATCCAGGGCGGCGCTACGTCCACGCGGTCATGCCGGCGAACGACTGTGGAGGCAAACCGGTCCTTGTTGGTTAAAGAGCCCTGCAAGGCGTGCTGTACTGCGGTGCGGTACCTCGCCCTCTGGCGGCGCGCCGCAGAAGCAGGCACAACGCGCGAGGTACTTCGGCCTGGAAGCGTATCGGTTTTGAATGAAAAAGTCGCCGCCGCCGAACCCCGGCGATCTGCCCCTTCCGCCGCGCCGCCCCGCCGCCGAGTTCCTGGAAGTCGCGTCGGCAAGACTGCCTGTCGGCGAGACTGCCGGCCGGCCGGACGCCGCCATGCGCCGAGCCGGGCCGCGCCACCGCGAGACGCCCTAGACGATGGAGCCCTTCTCCTGCAGCCGGCCGTGCTGCCCATTGATTGCACTCCACACGTGCGAGCGCACGTGGCCGCGAATCAGCACGCAAACGCGGACATCAGTCAGAGGGGCGGCCGTCGCTGTCTCTCGCACCCCAGCGGGGAGCCCCCTAGGGTGCGAGAGAGACAGAGGCCAAAACCATCGCGCTCTGATCATAAGGACTCGTTCTAGACGCGACTGGGGTCAATATCACCCTCCAGGGACTTTCCTCCGCGCGTCGGCGGCTGTTCGGGGTCCGGGAAACATCATCGAACGCGGGAACACGAACACGCGATACGCCCTAAGAGGGAGGGGGGGCGGAAGGGGGTGCGCGGTGTATCTGTAAATCTTGGAGCATCCCCCGACTAACACGCTCCGCAGCCCGAGCAGCCCGTCCGGCCGGGAACCGCCGGGAACCGCCAAACCGTAATGACCTGACAGGCGGACAGGCAGACAGGCAGGCAGACCAGCGCGGTCCTGGCCGGCAAAAAAAAACACGGATCGCTCGTGATCGGGTATTCGAACCCCGCGACACGACGCCGCGACTTCAGAGAATGACAGCCAAAGCGAGGCCGACGTCGTCCTCTCAGACTCCAAAGTAAAACTCGGGTCGAAACCTTTCCAAACCAGCAAGACACTGCGTTTGTGTGCCAGCCCTTCGCTTGGGATTACGGTGCAGTTCGAAATCGTCTACCGCGCAAGAACTGCCCCGCCCACTCGGCATGCATTGGTGCACCGCCAGCCGTCTCAATTCGTCCGTCAAGGCAATGAGACTGTGTGGGCTGGCTGACGCTGGCTGCATCGGAGTGCGGCTGGTGGTGCGGACGGTGTTATGATCGGCCCCATCGTCGCAGCGCTGTCTGTCTGTCCGTCCGATTCGCGGGCCGGTGCGTCGCCACGCCAGGGCACTGCAAGGTAGGGCTGGGCGGTTTTCCGGTATACCGGTTCGCAGGTTCGGTTTTTTCAAGAACCGGCCTGCCGGTTCAGACCTAGGAACTGAACCGGTTCACCGAATACCGAAGTTTTACCGGTAAACCGACGAACCGTGGCTCAAGTACTTCTTGTAATTGGTCCATTTCAAGTAAGTCAAGGGCTGTCAAGGAAAAATTACGGCATATTTTAGCGCATACTAGTGATTTTCATGGAAATTTGAAGAATTAACAATGAGTGTGCCAGCTGTAGAGCCTTTACCGATGAAGTTACTTGTTTTTTGATGCTTTTAAAGAGCCGGTTCGGTTGAAAAAACCGGTTTGGTGGAAAATACCGGTATTTTTCACTGAACCGGTATACCGGTTCGGAAAAAGGTTTTTTGGTGAACCGGAAACCGGTTCGGAAATGTCTGAACCGCCCAGCCCTACTGCAAGGCACCGCCAGGCGTCGAGTTCGAGTGCCGGGCACTGCCGGCTGCTCTTGGGTTGCTCGGCCCTACGACCGGCCGCGCGAAGGGTCCCACGTCATGTCATGTGACGGCCTAGCCTTGCACAGTCTTTGCACAGGCTCAACGCCGGGAGGTCCGCGTGGTCGACGCCGGCCGGCCGAACGCCGCGTGGCCGATAGCTCCAAGTGCCTTTCCTCGCTCTATCTCTGTCGCACTCATGAGGCGCCCCGTAGGGGTGCGAGAGAGACAGAGCGACGAGACGATCCTCCGGCTCAGCGGGCGAAATCACGAGGGGCCGAGGCGAGCAAAAGCCGTGGACGCGGTAGAGAATCGCGTTGCAGACTGCAGCCTGCACAGCGACACCGCACTGTAAGAGCCACTTCGGCTTTCGGCGAGTCAAGGCGGAGCTTCGCATGCTGCTGCATTGTCCCACCGGGACGCCGGGGACGCCGGGGACGCCGGGACATCAAAGGGTGGCCGATGACGGCCTCATGACGCCCCCGCGGCCATGCCGCCGTGCCGCCTGCGGCGTCCGTCCAGCTGAGGGCCATCGAGCGGACAAAGGGCGTCCTTGCCGTCCCCGCCGTCCTCGCGGCCACCACGTGTATGCAGCACCCTACTTGTTGAGCACACACACTCTCTCACGCACACACGGACGTACATAGAAAAGGGTGAATCCAGGCGCAGGCTGCACTGTCACACACACACACACACACGAGCACACGCACGACGCGCAAGGGGGCGACCGAAGCCACGCCGGCGAGACGCACCGGGGACTCTGAGGCTGACCGAAGGCCCGCACCGCAAGCCACCAGGACGGTGTCTGTCTGCTGACTGACTGCGACTGCACGGTGGGGCCGCTCGGCGCGGCGCGGCGCTCGCTGGGTCCCGGCCAGCCAACGCTACGCCCCGCCCGCCCCGCCGCGCCCCGCACAGCCCCGCACAGCCCCGCACAGCCGCCAAGAGATCCACGAGGAGTGCCTGCCCCACCCGCCCCCTCCGCCACCCCGCGGCACCCCCTCCACGGAGCCAGGCAGCCAGGCCCTCCACGGAGCCGAGCCCCGAGCCCTCCACGCCGGGCCACAGCGCGGCGCACCTACCGGCGGCCGCGTCGCTCGCACACATCGCTCGCCGGCCCCGCAGAGGTTAGGTGGCCGCGACTGTAGACCGGCTGTGACTTCATGCTCCGGATAAGGCAGACCGCCAACCGCACGCCGCCGCCGCATCGCTGCGTTCACACAGTGCACTCGCCGACAAAGCGGCGGCAGGGGCGGCCAGGGCAGCAGCGCCGTCGGGGGGGCGAAGTTCACGGCGAGGCTGCAACCGTCCGATTAAAAGCCGAAGCGTACTCCTTCCTCGCGGTCAGCCACGCACTTTGCTTCGGCCGCACCGTGCAGCTGTACCGCACCGCGAGGAGGGAACACGGCCTACGCACTGCCGCGTGGAACTTTGCTATGCTTTTCCAAGCTTTGCTATGCGGACAAACAGTCATTTTTAGCAGAACCGTGCCGTCAGCAAACCCTCAGCCTGCTTCCTGCTCCCCGCCGCGTGCCCGGAGATTTCCGGGCGCGAAGGAGTTTGGTGCAGTAAAGCAAGCACCCTTCTCGACGTATCGAAACTCTTGTCGAGTGGGGCACCTCGACGACAAGCCAGCCAAGCCAGCCACAAAGGGCCCTGCTTGCAAGCAACGCGTCGTCTGAGTGCGTGCCCTCATGTGTTCCCGCATGGTGTGAGTGCGCGCGCGCGTGTTTGTGTACGTAAGTGTGTGTGTGTGAGCGAGCGACCAAGCCCACGTACGTGTAAGTCCTTCCGGAGGGCACAACCACCTGCATAGTGCGGCTGCATAGCATAGTGTGGCTGCAGAACACTTTACTTCTGTTTACGCGCACGTTTGTCGCTGGGCGGCGCGTTCATGTGTGTTTGTGAGTCGGTGCGACTTGCTCACTTCCTGGAAAATGTCCCAGGGACGTCCAGGAGTGCGGTAAGACGCCACAGAACACTCCATTTCATTTTTCCGGAAGCTAGTGACCGTGGGGTTGTCTGAGCCACCCAAACAGTAGTCACCTCACTCGGGCGCACTCGGGGGCTTGCCGAAGTGGATCGCTGCCGAAGTGCCGCGGCGGCCTCGCCGTTCGGCCGGCCAGGGCGGCCAAGCTGGTCGGCACACTGCCGCGTCGGCTTTCTGCGAAACGGAACCTGAATGCAGTCCGGCAGTCGCTCCATCTTCGTCCAATCGGCGCGTCGCGGGCCGGCCGTCACTTCGCCGCGAATTTAGAGTCGTTGCAGCGGCGAGCCGGCGACAGCCAAAGCAGCCAGCACCGATGAGGCGTCGGACGGATGTCCTGCAGATTGGCCAAAGTGTCCGAGCTAATGAAGCACTCTGTTGCGTTCCATGGCACCCGGCATTTGAGGACCCGCGGGCCGCCAGGGCCCTACCTAACCTCTCTTTAGTGCACTCGTGTCCTTGTGTCCATTGGCCTCCGCGGCCTTGGCGTGGGGGCCCTGGGGGCCGTGGCCTTGATCAAGCCGAACAAGATGCAGCGCGGCGTCGCGGCTTTGTCGCTGGCACCACCGGCGCGGCGGCTGAACGGGTTAAAAATGTGGCCGAACATTTCCAGGCGATTTTCACACTGCATGCACTCGGCTCGAGGCCGGGGTTCACTTCCCCGGACGTCAGAGCAGGAACGTTGTCCATTGCGCCAAGCATTCAACTCCCCGCGAGTCGCGAGTCACGAGGTGCGCTTCGTTCTCCTCGCTGCCAGAGCGCCACCCCGGCCCACACCACGCAACGCGACGCAACGTCAAATTCAAATTAGTCCTCGGAAAAGTGAGGCCTTTTGGCGGTGTACATCGTTTGTCCGTCCGACGTTTGTCCGTCCTGCCGAAATTTGTCCGCCCTCCCCTTCGCTTAAATTTTTGTCCGCCCGACGTTTGTCCGCCCGACGTTTGTCCGCCCGACGTTTGTCCGCTCAACGTTTGTCCGACTGACGTTTGTCCGATCTCATTTCAGGAAAGAGGGAGGGGGAGAGTATAAAATATTCCACCACGTCAGTGACAGATTAGTCGTCGGGATGGACGAAGAGGAAGCGGCCACGCTGGGTTGCCTACCTCCGAGGCGGGCGGGTCCGAAAAGGAGCCT